TCAGTTCCGCCTCTTACTCTAATATCTAAAAATTTACATAGTAAAAAATAGTTTTTAATCTAATATTCAGAAGGATTCCTAAAAGTTAATTTGGTTGAGTAATACATATAATAGATCAACACTCAATTGATCCTTCAAAAAAAGCGGACCCTGCACCTGCGGGAAAAATGCTAAGAAGAAGAAAAAATGTGTCTCTGGAAGAACTGATCATTTAAACATATAAACCATAAATTTAATTTAAAATGTGGGCAGCATGGTTTAAAATGCAGATATTTTATCCTTGAAGGTATGATTTCATTCCATTTTCTAAAGAAATAAGCAGTGTAAAATGTTTTTGTTTATTTCTTGTAACCAACATTAACATTCTGACAGAGCTGACTAGCTGAATAATAGCTGTCTGTATAGCTATTTTTTATATGAGTAGCAAAAAACAGTTTATAGGTTTAGTACAAGAACATGTCTTGAAAGTAGGCCTAATGCAGATGAATGGAAATCTTACGAGAAGGGTGAGATATAAGAGTAGGATTAAGTATACTTGGAAGTCATGCAAGGCAATCCTATACTCTTTTGCACAGAAAAAGTTCCTTTGTGTTTAGTATGATTTACACCATAGAAAGTATGATTAGGGTTGCAGACATAAATGTGTTTAGCTGTTCTTGCTTTTAAGATGGCCTATACGTTGCTTCATGGAACAGATCTATTCATTTTTACCTTTGCATTTTTATATAAATGCCTAAATAAGGATAGCTAATTGGTACATGCAATTTGAAAAAACAAAATAATCAAGAAACTAAGAATGGATTAACAAAAAAAGGTTGTAATATGTACATTACATCAGTACATATGGCAAAAGTGTAAACTGATTGAAAAGACACAGGAATCTTTAATTAAGCATGCATTCCTCAGCTACATTTGCATTGTTTAGAGATCTGTATCTGCTTCACTTGTGAGGATTTATTTATAGGAAAGATGTATGCATACAGAAGTGCAACTAAAACCTTAAATTGTGATATATGTGATATATGTGAAATTGTGGTATCTCTGTATTTAGTTACAGATTTTTTACAGAATAATACAAATACCATTTGTTCATTTCTAAACTGCTAAGGCCACTTTAACTGTCCATTTACCTTGGTGTATATCTTCACTTTTTAAAAAATAAAAAACGAATTTTCCTTTTGCCAGTTACCAGTTTTCTTTTCTAAAATAAAAGTAACTTCTGTAAGCAGTTTATTTATTTGTTTTCTATAGCCACCCACCTCAACAAGTGACTCTGGGCAGCTTATGCAGAAATAAAACTCTTTAGGGCAAATCAATAACACTTTTAGCTTTGTTCTTGGGATGGAGGTTTTACATAGTCTACTTTTTAAAAAATAATTTTTATTAAAA